CCCGGCTTTCTCGGGGACAAGGACCTTGGCCGAGATGTGATGCCGCAACTTGGAGCGAAGGAGATGATCCATTTGAGCTTTATTACCATGCAGGTTCTTGCCTCGCCCCACGAACGAAGCTTTGAGTCCATGGAGCCTCAAGCCGGAGAGGCTCGCAGACCAAAGTGGGCAGACATGCAGACACGCAGACACGCAGACACGCGGGCTAATGCTGACACACGGGCAGCAGCACTGTGATGGGCGTGGAATGATTGGGAAGGGGCGAACAAAACGGAGGGAAGGGGGGAGGAGTGACTCGCAGCTGCTCCTGCCTGCCCCTCTCGACCCCCTGCCCACAGTGCCTGCCAGTCGTGTCTTCCCCATCTGGGTACCTGAGCCAGTCAGGAGGCTCAGAGACGGGGGTCCCACCCTCGCATCACGCTGGTCACGCGGTACTCGCTACCTGTCCCTCCTGACGCCGAGCCCGGTTTCGCCGCGGGGATAAGTGAGCGACGGCAGGTAGCAGTGACAGAGCACGGGCGTCGATCGAGAACAATCCCTGCACGAGTCTGGGTTCAGCTTCGCCGCTTCGCCTGGTTGGCTGGACCTCACAAGTCGTGGCTCGGCGCTCGCCTCCTCGCCTCAAAGAACGGGGCAACGGGGGCATCGTGGAAGGGCAAGGCCGTTCCAGGGGGAGGATTCGATCGTGCCGAGTTCTGATTGGACTGCCAGTCGCCCATTACACGCTTGCGCACCAGGTGCAGCGGCGGTGGTGGGTGGTAGATGGTGGGCTGGTGGACTGGCAAGCTGGTCGGCTCGTTGTGGTGTTGCACCCCAGGGCGCTCTGCACAGGCCCTATTTCTGGTTCTGCGAGGCAGGCAGGCAGGCAGGCAGAGAGAGAGAGAGAGAGAGAGAGAGCCAGGATCACTCCACCATTCTGGACCGAGTCGGACCAGTCAGCGGCCGCACAAAGGGTCACCTCTCGCTGTGCTGTTCGTAGTTCGTGTCTAGTGGAGTGTGCCAGGCGCCCAGTGTCCACTCACAGGCCTGCCTGCTCCTATTTTTTCGCTTCCTTCCCCCTTCTAGCTGGTCCCTGTTGCTCGTCGCTGCTAAGTAAGGCACCTACCTACTGCTGCACCACACCGCCGCCGCCGCGCCCAGTCTCCTGCTTCCTGACCTCCTGCTCTTGCTTCTCTTTTCTCCCCTTTCCCTCCTTCTTCCCAGCCTGATTCTCTCTTCAACCCCCCCTTCCTCCTCCCGCCGCTCTGGTACGCGAAAGTCGTTGTTCGTCGTCGTTTAGAAAAGGACGCCGGAATCTAGCAAAGCAAGACAGACAAGAAAACCACCCAGCAAATCAATTCCTCCCACCCAAAAAAAGAAGAACAAGCATAGCACACCACAATCTCAGGAATTCAACCGATTTCGACCGACCTTGTCTCCACAGCTGGCTACCCTCGCCTCGTCCTGTCCTTCCACAGCTTCCCCAACACGACACGCATTCCCAAGCAAAATCCCCTTCGATTTGCATTCGGCATCGACATTCGCACGGCAATTCGATAAAAAACGAGCTCATCATCGACAAGATCATTTTAATCAACTGTATTTTACTTTTCGACTCGACTCGATTCGAACGCTTCTTCGCCTCCTTCTTGTTGCACTCTCCTTCCCTTGGCCACATCGGCGAGTTAATTTCCAACGCGCACGCGTGCACCTTCTGCCGACATTCCTGTCTCCCGCGGAATTGCTCTCCAGCGGAAAGATTACTTTGCCAAGCCACGACTGGAAAGCTCAAGAACAAGCAGTCGCGCTCTCCTCCCGTCCTCCCCCCCAATAGACCTTCGATCAGGTCACGGTTGCAGCTTGACTGTACCCGCAAAACGCTCTCGACATCCACCACACGCGGCATCTCCTGCCTCCTGCTTGGAAATTCAACTGGCTTCTTTCCTTCACCAGGCATCAGCATCGGCAGCGGCATCATCTTGATCCTGCCACACATCCGTTCATTCGTCTATTCGATCATCTCGCATCATCGACTTTTCCTTTCTTCGCTATATCTCTCGACCCAAACCTTCAACTTAATTTCCAACCGAATCAACACCACGTCCTTTCCCACCCAACCTTTTGGCCTCGTGTCACCAGTCTCGTAACGGATTTTGGATCTCGTTTTTTTGGCAATCAACCACTACCTCCCGGCAACTCGATCGCCTTAATTCTCGTTGTGCAGTCTCTCCCATATCGCATCTTCCACCGACTACACCTCTTAATCTGACCCGGCGTCCACATATTGTGCTCGACTCGTCTCACATTCTTTTCTGTCAGCTCGACCTTGACAAGCACGCCCATCCTCCCACATTCATCTGCGCAATGGACGCAGCTGGTCTCGCACAAATGAACACCAACAACTTCAACAACCAGTCCAACGGGCTCGCCACGCCCGCCTCCGGACTTGCTTCCCGTCGAGGCGGCCAGAACCTCAAGCCTCTCTCCCTGGCTTCGCCTCCCGCCGGCCAACAAGACAACGGCGTTCCCACTCCACGCACGAGCCGTTCTCACCTGCTCGCTGGCCTTCGAACCGCCCCCAAATCGGCCACTGCCTCCACCTTTGCGAACTCTGCAAGCATGGCCTCTCCCACTGCCCAAACCTTCAGCAACCGCAACAGCATCGCTGGCAGCATCTACCCGCAGGGTACCAATGCCTACGCGGCTCCCAAGACGGCTTTGCCCCAGTATGGCCAGCAGCAGGCGTACAACCAGATGATGAACATGAACCAGCAGCAGCAACAATTCACAACTGAGCAGGTTCTCGCTCCTCCTGAGATCCACGTCGACGACCAGGACCAGATGGACCCCCAGCTGTACGCTCAGCTGGTCGCCACCAACATGTACCTGGCCCAGCAGCAGCGGGCTCTTCAGCAAGAGCTCCTCAACATCCAGGTGGCTGCTCAGCAGTTCCAGGGCCTCAACATTGGCGGTGCCCAGCAGCAGATGCAGATGCAGATGCAGCAGCAACAGATGGCCATGTACCAGCATCAGCAGCGCGTGCAGTCTATGCAGCAGTCCATGCTTGGCGCCATGGGTAACCAGCAACAGATGCAGCAGCAGCAACAGCAGCAACAGCAGCAGCAGCAAGTGTATGCCTACGTCGATCCCATGACCGGACAGACCAAGTACTACGTTGACCCCAACGCGGGGCAGTCCAACATGGCAGCCTACATTGATCAGTCTCAGCTTGCTCAGGGCTACGGAAGCCATCAGCAGACGCCGCAGAACAACACGCCTCGCGTCCAGGTCTCCCCTCCCGCCGAGAACAACACGACTCCTTTCTTCCGCAGCAACTCGCCTCCTAAGCGCAACGAGTCGCCCATTGACGTCGCTCCTCTTCCTCCCCCATCTGCCAACGCTTTCCGTCGCGGCCACAAGAAGATTGTCTCACTCGCGATGCCCAGCCTCAACAACTCGCTCGCCCTCTCCAACGATGCCCCCAAGTCCGCTGGTCCCCGGACTGCCTCCTTCCCAGTCACGCCGCTGACCGGTGGCTACGGACCGGGCCAGGCGCGAGCTGGCGAGCACCCAGTGCGCCAGCCCCGTGGCCCGCCCTCGATTGAGGAACTCAAGGCCAAGCCTACCACAAAGCACGAGGGCAGCAAGAACTTTGCGGCTCGCACCCGTCGTTGCGCAGTTCACAACCTTGTCCGCGCCGGCCGGGAGAGGAGAAAGGGAACTGGCAGCTCGAGCGGAAGCATGAGCCCCGTTTCTGAGAGCGCTGAGGAGGTGCACACCCCCATCACTGACAACGAGTCTGACTCCGGGCGTAGTGGCTCGGGTAGCCTGTCCGGTGACATGGAGTGCTCCCTGCCTAGCTCGCGGACCTCCACTAACGGCAGCTGGGGTGCTATCGGCTCGGACCGCCCGGGTTCGCGCCAGAAAACGCGCAAGAGCCTCGATAGTGTCAGCAGCGCCACGTCGGGTTGCGAGTCCGAGAGGGATAACTCGTTTGCCAGCGTGTTCAAGAACGCCGGCCAGAAGACCGAGGTCGAGATGGCTGAAGGCCAGCGCAAGGCGCCCATGCTGGTCCTGACGAGCGCCGAAAAGCGCAAGAGCGGCCCGCTGGCCATGCCCTGAGGGCTCGATTGGCCATTTCTTCCAGACGTACGTAATGACGACCATGCGCCTTCATGTCTCTCCTTTTCCATGACCTGCTTCCCGGGGAGGGCGGGGTAGATCCCTAGCCCCCCGATGGTGAGCAGGCTCCACTCCACGATCGGCCAGGCTTCATTTGTGTACGAATTTTTTTTATGGTGTTCACTTCACGCGGCGTTGGTTTCACTTTGGCCTTGCTTCTCGCTGAGCTTGGTCCGAGACCATCGCCCAACCAAGTTTTCGATTCGACCACCCTCGCCTCGCGTTGGCGAGGGAATTGGGCAATAAATTAGAGGCCCACTGATGAGGGGAGCAGGCTTGATTTGTTGATAGGAGGCAGAGAGTGTGTGATACCACGCGAGCGAAGGGTACTTGGACCGAAACTGCCAGGCTTTTGGAGACGGTCCTCTCCTCGTCTGGAAAGGGGTTTTTGGTTTACTGGCTTTCCGTTTGTGTTTTTGTTTTGTTCCTGCGCTGTGGGCATGGGCGAATGAAGTTTCGCGGGTGAGGGCGTCAAACCGTTGCATTCTTCATGCATGGATTTCCCCAGCTGGAGCCAGCGTCCCCCCAACAGCTATCGGGTCGGACCGAGTGTCCTATGCCGCAGCGTGCTGGGGGGTGTAAATAGGATAGTTTAGGACGGCACAATAAAATTGGATGCCCAATCAATGTTTCCTGATCTATGGGCGAGAGGGCCACGCAATGACACCAGTCATCCCGTCATCCTTCTAACCCCAAGGTGGCTAGGGCCTGGTCCTCCCGGCCGCGCCTCGCTTCTAAGAGCTGCTGGAATGCCTCTTCGCGTCGTCGATGTGAGCATGTTCCTTCGCGGGCCCAACCAAGATCTCGTCTTGCTCGCCACTCTCGAGGGCCACCCACATTTAGTCAATGAAATCCCCGAGGGGCATCCCGATGGGCGCGAGGCCTTGTCGCGTGTGAAGCTCAGTCTGCACGGCCGGCGGCACAATCTCGACAACCCTGACGGCGTCCCGGCCGGGCTGCCGCTCCTCGCCCCGGAGCTGCGCCCGCACCTGCCAGGCGAGGGCGCGCAGGGCGGCCTTGCTGGCGCAGTAGTTTGCGCAGCGCGGCAGCGGCACGAGGGGCCAGGGCCGACGTGATGTAGTACAGGGCGGCGGGGCGGCCGGCGGCGGCGTGGGCGCGCAGGTGCGGCAGGAAGAGCAGCGTCGTGTGCAGCGGCGCGAGGTAGTTTGTTGTCAGCTCGGCCGTCGTCGCGGCGAGGAGGGCGGTGACGGCGGAGACCCCCGTGCCGTCGCTGGCCCCGGCGGTGGTGGTCGGGGGCCCGAGGGGCAGGGCGTGCTGGACTCCCGCGTTCAGGGACAGGGCCGTCACGGCTGGGTAGGTTGCTGTGATGCGGGCCGTCCAGTCGGGCAGCGAGGCGAGGTCTGTCACGTCGAGGGGCTCGATGGCCAGGTGGGCGGGGCCGTGTTTGGCGAGGAGCGCTTCGAGGCGCGCCGTGCTGCGGGCGACGGCTATGACGGATATGTTGTTCGTCAGGAGGCGCTCCGTGAGGGCTAGGCCTATGCCTGACGTGGCGCCTGTGATCAGGACCTGCTTGTGGGGGAACGGCATGCTGGTTTTTTCCGGTCTCGGCGGCGGCTTTGCAGGTGGTTTGTCGTTGGGCTGGCATGACGGGGGGCAGCGAGCGGACCTTGGCTTTTATTTGATCGTGAGTTGCGCGAGTGGGCTGAGGGGTCAACGGGATGCGGATTCACTGAAGTGTGGCGGGATAATTTTGATCTCTCTTGTTAGTGAGTCTTTCTATCCATGGTATACATTGTTGTCAATCGTAGGATTTGAAGGCTTGCGTGGTGACATTTGCGCGATCACTGGTTCGAACTAGGACGAAGTGAGTTTTCTTTGGGTTCTCAACTACATGAGAACTTGGTGCACAACACCAAGAGTGACGGATCATGGGCTAGTTGGAACAGAACCGTAGAATGCGGCTGGCTGAGTCCTTGTTGGTCATCAACATCGATTGCTGTGGTACTCGGTGAGGACGGCTCTGGACCCGAAATCTAAGGCTGAAGGCCACAGTGGATCGGGTTATGGCTGATAACCGCGGCTCGTCCTCGAGTGAAGGTTTCCCAGCACTTTGATTACATTGCAGTGTTTCTGCCCGTCATGTTCATGCCAAACCCTTTGCTAATATTTCGACAAAGCACACGACGATGGAGGCTTGCAAAAGTCTATGATTACGACCTGAGCGGGCATGACCTGGTAAAGCTTTAGTTATTGAAGGCCGCAATCTTCTTATGAAAGGCTATAATAATCTCCATCTGCCTCAAGACCGACTTCCGCAGTGTCCCGGTGTCTGACATTGCGGCCATGACTCCGAGTCTGGCATATATCTTGGGCGCGAGGACAGATGCGTCTTCCAAACCAGACTGCGAACATAGTAATAATGCCAAAGGTCTGTCGAACCATGGCTACATGTCCACAAGATACGATCCGGATGGAGCGATGACTTACTGCAAAACATGCTGTGCACAACACATTGGAGGCAGCCGAGTAGCTGCTGCTACCTGTTCTTCGATGTTATACCCTCCGAAGCGCCCGGAACTTGTCTTTCCGCACACAGCATGAAAGTAAGAAGCTGCAACTTTCTGCTGCCACATGCCGATGATGTGCATTCGAATGAGTGAAAGAAGGTTGTGTGTGCATCTGTTCATCCCCGAGTTTATTTGTGAAATGCAATATGCCTGCAGAATTACAGCGTTAAAAGGCTCCCAGAATCGCCACCAGCAGCCTCTCGAAACTTCTGTCTCAGCCGACCCTCAGCCGCCAAAACCGCCGACAGTCTGCCTCCCATACGCTCTTGTGTCATCTGGCTTGCAGTCTCATAGGAGGTGCTTAGCTGGTCGGTGCTATCCAGAGACGGAGATGAACCGCGCGCAGTGCTCAACACTAGGCCCCGTTATGCTTCTTCGCATCGTGATCACTGGGCGCCACGCACCATAAGTCTCCAGGATACTCGGCAACCGCGCCATCTCCTGGGGCGTCCAAGGTATCCTTGCGAAGAATGTCGCCTCTGCCGTCGTACCCAGCATCAACGACAACGCCAACTTCCTAAGCAATACATGCTACTTGAGCTCAACGATCCTAATGCGGCTAGAGATGGTGCATACGGGGGCAGAGACCCCAGCCACGAGCACCAGACGCACGTTGGGAAGGCACCCGGTTGACTATATCAAGTAGATAACAGTACGTGCCAAGGAAACCGTCAAGTCCTGAGGGTCATTGCTGTTTGCCCGTGATGTATTGCCCTAAAATATGAAACTCACGAGTTGCGAAGACAGCTCAATGCTCATTTCGCCCCAAGTCCACCTTCCAACGCCTGGTCCTGTCTCCATGTTGTGTCAAACTCCAACTGAAAAGAAAAAGTCGTTCACCAAAAATGGTAGGTGCACAAGGGCCAAGTTCCTCTCATCCTCCTCTCGTCATCTCTTCTCGCCTGGGAAGAAACATGCGTGTGAGATGCGAGTGCTCGCTTCTAAGTCGGTGTGCATATCGTGACGTCGTGCCGTTCGTCCAGGTGAACTACCTATTCCGTTTTGCGGTTCTGCCCGTCCCGCTCCTTCACAGCCTTGTTTGATCCCTAGATCATTTGCGTATCCAAGTCGGCCTTTACTTGCCACGTCATTGTTGCGGCGGTATGTTAATTTATACAAATAGAGAAGAGATTCAGTCTCATCCGCATGTACTGTGCTGGACGATGAGCACCGACGAAACATCGTCATGTTTGTTATGTTCGTTTTTTATCAAACCCCTCGCGGACGGAGACTTGCATGGCGATTCGTCTCTCATAGGATATTGCATCGATGGCCATCTGGTCGTCGTCCTCGCCTCCGCTTGCGTTTCGCGAGACCCATGATGCCCGTGTCATTGTCGTCATCGCGGCCGTAGTTGTCCCTGCCATCGGCGTCTCTAAACCGCTCGTCTTTGAGAAGTAGTTGGCGGCAAATATCGATGAATACAGCATCGACATTCGCTGAGATCGACATTAGCACCTTTGGTACAAGGTTGAGGTTAGGATTGGCTTACTTCTCGTCCTGGCACTCGTCTCATAATATGGCGCATCCCACATCTGGGAGCAGGCGAAGGCCCTTTGGCGGGGCACTGCCCGCTGCTCCTCGAGATCGGCCTTGTTTCCGACGATAACGATGGGTACGTTTTCATCGTCTTTTATTCGAGTGATTTCTTCTCGTAACATCTCAATCTCGTTCATGGACGAGCCCGAGGTGATACTAAAGACCAGGATAAAACCTTGGCCGGATTTCATGTAGAGATCCCGCATGGCGACTGCAACCGTATTAGAGTAGAACTAGCACGAGAAAGAAGACACATCCATACCAAACTGTTCTGTGCCGGCGGTGTCGAGACTAAAAATGATGAATGATTAGACATGTGCATGCCAATGCTGGACTGCTCGACTTACATCTCCAGGATAACCTGTCTTCCCTACAGAGAGGCGTTAGTCACAGGCCGAGATTGGTCAGAGAGATCAGCATCTTACATCAACTTGCAGTTGAGTTCGGTACGTGTCTTCGATGGTTGGGTCGTAGCTTTCAATCCACTCATTGTGTACAAACTGAGCTGCACAGTCGATGAGTTAGACAGTGACACGGCATTAGGGATGAGGTAATGTTCTGGGTCATCTCACCAGTCAAACAACTCTTGCCGACACCTCCTGCGAAAGAGTCAGTCACCTGAATGCGTTACAAAGACTGGACGGCGCTTCTCACCGGCTCCTAGCACAACAACATGGAGCTCCCGACTAGACATCAGCAAAATCAGCATATGGCCTCACGATCATGGGAATACAGGACGGCGGCAGTGAAGCGTACCAGGACTGATGGTGCTTGTGACGAGACATGGCGGATGGTCAGGAGGTGGGCCTACAACATGCCCGACGGCGGATGCAGGCAGTGAAGGCGCGTGTCGAAATGTGTTTGGTGGCGATGATTGGAGTTCAGGAAACTGTCTGAGCCCTTTGTTCTTTCGGTTGGTACCCAGTGCTGGCTGATGCAGGTGAGGCAGGATGAGAACGAGACCAGGCGCAAATGCAAGTCCAAGTGCGAGCGCGAGCAAGGCTAATTAAAGCAACTCGAGACGAAAGGAGCGCGTGGCGAGAAACCTGGCGCGGTAACGATATGATGACACGAAGAAACGGAGGCAAAAATGCGGAGGACAGAGTAAGTGATCGATCGTATCATGAGTCGAGAGGTTGGTTTCTGGTTGCAGCTGTGGGCCGGTAGGAAACGGACCCGGGGATGCTCGAGTCGGTGATGATTTGATTCGACTGGAGGACAAGATAAAAAAAAAGCACGGGCGTCCTGTGGTCTAAGTAGCGGCGGCGACAGGGAACAGCAGTCCTCGCACAGCGGGAAATAGATGGGACGGCAGGCCGGACGGAGTAGGGAGCTGAGGGATAGAAGGTGAGGGAGGGGGCGGGAGAAGGAGAGAGAAGAGAGAAATAAGGGATGAAGATGTCGTCGTGTGTGTAGTTCGTCGCCGTTGCAGGTAAGGCTTGTCGAAAGAGAGGGGAGATTGGAGAGCCTGTTTAACTGGCGGGGGTGGGTGTAAAGGGACTTTGATACCCTCACTCAGGGCAGATGCGGCCGAGTAGGTAGCCTTGGATCCAGCTGTACTTTCTTCAGTTGCTTGTTTGCCTGCTGTTGAGCTCGCTCCTCGCTGAATCGCCTGTGGTGTGGTGTGGTGTGATGGTTTGGTGCGGTGCCGTAGGGTAGGTAAGTAAGGTAAGGTAAAGTAGGTAGCCAGGCAATGTACGTCGCGATGCTATGAGAGGGTGCTGCCTGGGCGTGGCGCGACAGGAGGAGCGAACCTGAAGCAGTGTGGTCCGGATGATGAGTTCGTGGCTGGTCTTGTGTTGCTCGAGAATGAGGAGAACGACCAACGAGATACGATCAGGTTCTTTTCTTCCTTTTTTTTTTTTTCTCCCTGTTGTTGTCCTCTCAAGAGGCACTGCTGACTTCTTGCAGCATTGTTCTTCCTAATTTTTCTTTTTGGCTCCATGGTTTCCAAGTCGGGGGATGGTTGTGGGGCGCGGCAGGGGACCAAAGTACTGTACAGAAGGGGGGGGGGGGGGGGGGGGGGGGGAAAAGGGGGGGGGACCCGGGGGAGGTCCCAAAAAAAAGGGGTTGGGGGGGGCCCCCCCCCCCAAAGAATTTTCCGGGGGGGGGGGGGGGCAAGCGTGAGGGAGGGGGGATAAGAAGAAGCGGGGCGGCATGTGTGGCTTGGGCGACCCAAGGAGGCCCTTGCGTCCGCCTTTTCACGACTGCCTCAGTACCTCCATCCGGGCAATTCCTTGTGGATAAGTTGGGTTTTTCTTTTCTGCCGCTACCAGTCGCTGTCAACGCTGTCATCACCCACTAGGTGGTTAGTTTCCCACCTCTTGTCGTTGTCGCCGTGCACATTATCTAGTCTCGATGGAGTGGCGGCTGTTGCCCTTCCCTTTACGACTGCTGGCTGCCTCCTGGCCTCCTGGCTCTGGCTCCTTTTCGGCTGCTGGTGGTTCCTGGCTCCTGACTCCTAGCTCCTGACGCTTGGGG